GTGCCCAGAAGCTCCGCCAGTTCGTACCGTTGTCCACGGGTAAGGTGTTCGTCTGCATGCTCCACCAGCTGCCGCAGAGGCTGAGGCAGCGGGGACCAGTCATCTTGTTCCGGTCCTTGAGCCGAAGGGGCCGAGCTAACGGGTGCTACTCTCACCGCCACCTCTAGGTGGGCTAGCTCTTCCCCCGGGACGATGACCATCATCTCGTCGCCGATGTTGACTACCGAGAGGGCGACTTCCCCTCCAGCGGTATCCACCAGACTCCGCCCCATCAAGATGCCTCGCCGCCCTTTCGCCCGTGCGAACTTGGCCGTAGGTTCGGCGATCGCCAGTTGTTCATGTCTCCACGGCCGGGTGCCAACAGATCCGTCTACCACGGCGCCGCACCCTGGAGGAATCGCCACTCGCCGGATGGCGGTCACCCGTCGCGGTTCCAGCTTTTCCTCTCCATGCAGTGCGTGCAGGATGCTATCGACTGTCAGGTGGCCGCGAGCTGCATCCACCTGGCAGTCATGGCTAGCAAGGAAGTCCATGCCCAGGATGCCGTACCTAGTACCCATCTCAGCTACGAGCATATCCTGCTCATACTCTCGTTCCCCAAGCAAGAAGTCGGCTTGAATCTCGCCGAGCGACTCCAGCGGTCTTCCCTGAACGTCGTACATGTCTATCACCCTGGTCGCATAATCAGCTGGACTTTCGTTCGCACCTTTTCGACGTTGCTTACGCTCACTGCGATATACTCTTGATTTTTCCGCAGGATCGAATCGCCGTTGTAAGACGTCAGCTATCTCATCAAACGTAGCAAACTCGTGATCCAATCCGCTAATTGCATCCAACGCACTGTCGTCTAATGCCATGAACAGTCTGTGTGCCTTCATTTCATCTTCCCATCCATTCCACTGCGCAACATATCGAAACTTTTGCATGAATCTGTCGAAATCTTCTGCTGTTCCACGGAACTTAAATGTTTTGGCTTCTTTTCTGTTGCATCCGGCCGACATCGAATCCATTTTATCCCTACTTCCTATATTATACCACTTTCTCTTATCGTAGCTAATCGACTTGGTCTCTCATTTATCTGTCTCGACTGTTTCATACCAGTACTAGCCACATGCGGGTATGATGAATCGAACATATAGCTCTCCTCCCTGCACTTCTATGACCAACATGCCTATCCTGCATGTCAGATACATAGTCACTATGATACGCCTTGTTCGTATTATGCCCATCTACTGTAGGAGTATTTCTATCAGCCTTTGTTCTAGCTCATTCCCTGATTTGAGAGTCATTTTCATCACCTCCCGTCTCTGCCACCGTTTCAAAAGCGTTCCTCTCTCTCAGCTGATCGTGATCAGGAGTGCCGAGATTATGTTTCATATTCGAGATATTTCGTACCGATACTCTCGGAACCACGGAACAACCAATTAAAAAGAAAACTCATTGTATCGATACCACGTATATAGCACTGTAATAAATATTAAATATCTGTTCAAAATTCTAACAAAATTGATCCTATGAATGTTCAAAATAAAAAAAGATCCCGGGCGAGCCCTCAATTTTGTAGCGGTTTACTCTGCGACTGACCCGTGACCGTGTCTTTACCGCATTCGTAAGTTATGTCTAGGGGTGAATAATGTGTCACCGCCACGTTTAAAACCCGCCTACAAATTAGATTGATATAGCTATAGTTTATATATGTGCCGTGGTGTCAATGTGGAGATAGAGAACGAAACTAGATGATAAAGAGTAGAAACAATGAGTTATAATTAGGTAACCGAACGGATAAATCTTTAATAAGATATAAACAAGGTACAATGAACCACAGTATTTACTCTTATATCACAGTATGGTACATTACATTACAGTATTACTTCGAACTGAGCTACGTTACTTACTATATTTCTAACTCTCCCAGATCGAATGCTATATTCTCTCTATCGAATCTCCCTCTTTGTCAATCACTGTATCGAATCTCCTAACTATTTAGTTACTCTCCAACTCCCCAAATCGAACTCCTTTCTCTTCCTTATGTTCGCTCTATTTATCTTATCATTGACAATGGAAAAGTGTAAACACAATCAGCTGTTCGTTTCTAGATGTGACGTTGATTTCACCAACCAATCAGAGGGCCAATTCGATTATGCAGTCTGGACTCTCCACATTCTCCAGTCCGGATCCTACCGGATTCGTGCGAAATATAATAGAAGTGGAGAACCAAGATTGCAGCCCCCTCGTTGTTGATTCTCAACGAGCTTCTTGATATTACAAAGATGGCGGCCCCACGTTGTTGATTCTCAACAGTGATACTACAAATTTCAATCATATCTAGGAAAAAAGGGATCTATAGTTTTATTGTCAACATTGTGAGTATTAGTAACACGCGAAAATCGGATGCACTACACGGATTGGTGCATAAAATGTGATAAAAACCAGAAAATTAGGTTTGAATAACCGAAATTCTGACTAAATGTTGCCATTCCGCCATTTGTCACGTGATCTCTTCGCTATCGCATCGGTCGAAAAAATCGAGTTTGGAAAGTCCAAACTTTCCAGAAATGGTCATGTGACCAGTAATCGAATGGAAATGGAGTCCGGAAAATCCGGACTGCGTAATCGAATTGGCCCAGAGTGACGCTGACATGACGATGACGTATACCAACATGGACGAACGCAATTCAGACGATGGACGACACACGGACGAGAAAACGAACGAACATGTAAACAGACAGTAATTGTATGTATTAAAAGCTCACTATATATATCTTTTATAATATAGACTATTGTTCCCGGGTGCCCCCGTTACTGTCGGCACTTAGAAGCTTTCTAGCCAGTAGTAGTAGATAATCTTGTATTTTCAACTACGTTACATTTTTAAAACTGAACATTAGCTGGATAGCTCTAACCGATATCTAACAAATGTAATAACGCAGTCTTATACACATCCATCACTCCGATATTACATTAAAGAATATTACCCCATCATCAAGCTTCTCGCCAGCGATCACCGCGTATCGGTATGCCATAAACATATAACGCAACGGACACCCTCGATTATTCGTCTTGCGGCTGTGGCGGCAATCCGATATCTCTGATCCAACTTGAAAATGCAATTTTGCTCTATTGATCACTTCATCCCGTTGCCCGCTTGGCGACTTCATATAAGATTGGCACTCCATCCTGCTGCAAGCCTAACATCCTCGCGCCTCCCACCCACGCATGCATTTCCTTGCCCATTCGCCACTTGTGATTTATCCTTTTTCTTTAACAGAAATTAATATGTAGCGTCCTCTCATACCAGAGTGGAAAGCTGATCTCGCCCCCCCTCCTCCAGAGACAGCATCCGAGTAAGTAACGTGGACTTTTTTTCGTATGCAGCTGTCGGCGCAAAGGAAATTCTTCTAGCGATCTGCTGAATGCATACGGCCGATCACTATCCTTCGGCAGAAAGTTAGGTTTCTTCCGGCAGCGATGTGCTCCAGTGCCGCACGTATTTCCTCGCTTCGCATTGCTGCAAGTGCTGCTGTTTGAGCTCCATTTTCTGACGCCGTTTCACAGAACATAAAATATTTACAGCCACCGCACACCTATGCACTTTACCAGCCCTGTAATGTCGCTGTAGTTTTCTATTCTTTAAATTTCATGGTCCACTAATGTACTGAGTGAAATACTGACAAAGATTGAGACAATTCTAGCCTTGCATCCATTTTGTTTCACGCGTGCATAAGGTCATGTCCTTGTATTCTTGTGTGTTTCGGTATTCGCTTGGTTTAGGCAGATGGATGATGTTGTTCCCTGCTCATTTTGACGTCATCAAATTCCTGTTGCGAAACACTTTCTCAGAACACTCAAGAATGCTACGAGTCGTCAAAGCACCATTAAGGAAGCGCGAAGTCGGCACTAGATTGTGTCGTATGCTTTTATGGCATGGATGAATACTGAGGGCACGCGATCATCCGAATTGTGCATCAGATCGCTAGTAGAATCTTCTCTGGCATGTCTGGCCATGCTTGCGGAAGTTTGTTTCATTGTAAAGTGAGGATTCTGCAACACGATCGCTGGCATGCAATGTAAACGCAGTGTATTCTTTCATGGATACTCAAGTGAAATTGCCTGTAGAACTGCATCTGTTCGTTTTTGCGTCGTATTGGCCAAATGGAGATAGCTGGAGAGGTGGTTTTTCTTTAGCTATGTTCTTTGTCAGTGTTATGCAGCTGTTAAGAATAAATTTTGTTCAGACGTTGGGGGACACAATTTGCACCTCACGCCCTTGCTTATCAGTTCAGCAACTATAGTGTTGTAAGCTCTTGCCTCTGAACACTCAAGTACAACCCACGTTGTTTTATGTTCATCCGCACACACAGGCTTCTACCCGACCCCGGCCCCGTACTGGTTTTATTCCCGACCGTGAAGTGCTTGCACATCACCATAGTGTCATAGATTTTTTCACAGTGTCGTGTAAACGAACAGAAATTAAGAGCACTAACACTACTAACAACACTCATTTCCTCCTCTATCTTGATAAAATAATATTCGTCCTGCCGTCAATTTAGACTCAATTTCAGTAAATTGTAATATTATACACACCGCCAGTACTCACGTTGGTAAAAACTGCGGAAGTTGCGAAATGAAAACTTTATCGCGTTAAACACCACAAACTTGTTCGCTGCGACCCAGTTTAACAGTTTGAAAACAGTAAATCTCTAATAGTATAAGCGCACAATATAAATCCGCAATTCTTTAACAAACGCTATAACTGTTTTTTAACTACGCTCCTAACGTCGCTCTGTAAGTTACACGAAATCTAATATGCATACCACAAACTCTTTGAAATGCGCAGGCGCCTTGCTTTGGTACGTGTAGAGCGTCTGAACGTTCCCCTCTGTTTTGCTTCACTAACCTGAAACTTCCAACCGATCTGCTTCCAATCATCCCATTTCTTCTCCATTCGCCGCTGGATGTATCGTTTGATAACGTTCGAAAAAGATTGCAGTGTTTTATCTTTATGAATCGTTCAGCTTCTTTCTATTGCCTGTGGCCAGAACGGTGTAAATACGTCTTCTGCAATACGATTCTGCAAACGATGAGAATTCTGCACCATTAAACGGTGGTCCGTTGTCGGTTTTCACTGTGTCTGGTATACCTTGCCTGGCAAATATGCTATCTAGTTTAGGAATTGTGGCCTTCGATGATGTACTTGTCTCCAGCTCTACCTCTGGAAACCTACTATACTCATCTACCACTACTAGCAAGTATTCTCCCGTCGGAAATGGACCGCCAAAATCTACTGCCACTTCTTTCCATGGTCCGCAATGTAGTGTTGTCATCTTTAGAGGTTCTGGTCCTTCTGCGTTGTTGGCGGTAGCAGCTTGGCATGGCAAACACTGCTTAATTCGCTCTTCCACCAAACGATCTATACCCGGAAACCAAACCTTCTCGCGTAACAAGCTCTTGGTCTTGACGACACCTTGATGTCCGACGTGGGCCAATTCGATTGCTTTTTGACGTAACGAAACTGGCAACACAATGCGTGTGTTCCTCAGCACCAAGCCATTGAAGACTGCTAACTCATCCTTCACTGTCAGATATGGAACGAGTTCCTCATCTGCCCAGTGTCCATGTTCAATTGCACGGATTAGCCTCTGTAGCACCGGATCACTCAAAGCATGTACCTCTACGTCTCTCACAGTAAGTGCCTTGGGCACACTGTTTGTACACACGTAATTTATATAGTCTTCGGCCGCGTCTGTCGCTGCTGGTTGATCCGGATGCCTACTCATGTAGTCAGCAGGATTTTCGTCGTCAACCGTAACCTCCATCAGTCAATCCTGGCAGATGCTTGCTTATGACTGGCAACTAACCCAATCAGCGGCTTGTGGTCTGTTATAATATCGAATTCACTCCCATACAGATAGAGATGAAAGTGTTCAGCACCCCATACTACTGCTAACATTTCTCGTTCTGTTTGTGAATATCGCTGTTCAACACTCGATAGTGCTCGGCTAGCAAAACTAACGACTTTCCCACCTTGGCATAACATGGCGGCTACGCCTACTGGACTTGCGTCTACTACCACTTCTGAACGCTTGGTTGGATCAAAATACTCCTCTGTGCACACGCTGGTCAGTTTATGCTTGAGGTCAGCAAGTGCTTTCTGGTGCACACATTTCCACTCCCATTGAGCACCTTTATGTGTGCACAAGTGCAGACGACACATCAGAATAATTTGCTATACACCTGGATACATATTGTGCCATCCCTAGTAGCGATCTGACTTCACTTGCGCTCTGGGGTACAATAGCATTTACGATACCAGATATCTTCCTAGGATCGGCAGCGATCCCGTCACTGCTGAAAATGTGTCCGTAGAAAGTAACTTGTTTCTGTCCAAACCTGCATTTGTCCTTATTTAGCTTTAAGTTGGCTTGTTCAAGTCACTCTAGTACCGCTTTCAGGTTTTTGTCGTGCGATTCTTGTGTTTGTCTATACACAATGATGTCATCTGACATGTTTTTGCATCTCTTTAAACCGGATAACACTCCTGATAGTGCATTCTGAAAGATCTCCGAAGCGGCGTTGATAACGAACATTAACCTTTTGTATCTAAACAGTCCAAGATGCATTGAGAATGTCGTAATGTATCGACTCTCAGGACTCTTGAGTTGATCTTGAGTTGAGTTGAGCTGATCTTGTATCGACTCTCTTGAGTTTGTCCAGTTCCCTCTCGACAGCTTTCCTTACGTGGAATGGAATAAGTCGATGTGGTTGTTGCTTTGGCTCCACATTCTCGTCGATGTATAACTTCATCTGTATGTTTTCCGCTTTGCCCATACCCTTGAAGATGTTCGGAAACTTCCCGGCTATCGTCTGCATCTTAGATGTCACACTCTGTGCTACATGTATAATGCCTAGATCTTCAGCTGCTCTGTAGCCTAAAAGGTTACCTGTGCTGCCATCTACAACATGAATATTAGTCTCCACAACCTTCTTGTCATACTGTAAGTACCCCAATGGTAGGCAAAGGGTTTCTTGAGCCATAAGGGTAGACCTTAGTTGTCGGTTGTTGAAACAGCAGTGGCACGTGGGAGGGCCCCTTTAACCGGTTGAAAGTTTCGCTGTCTATGATGTTCACTGATGCCCCTGTGTCAACAGTCATTCTTACGACTTTCCCCTCAATCTTTACGTTGCACGTTGGTAGCTTGTCCCCGTGCTGTCTCGCACCAAACGTGTACTCATCGTCCGAGGAATCCGACTTATGTGCTTCCATCTCTGCTGCAGAATGCTTGTCCTCTGTGACGCGATACGCTGACTGTTCTCTTCTCTGTCTTGATCTACACACTGCAGCGAAGTGGTTAAGCTTCCCACATGATCTACAAGACTTGCCCCTGGCTGGACATGGCTTACTTTGGGGGTGTGGATACAGTCCACTACACTACAGCAACCATAACCACACGAAATGCATATCGAAACTCCTTCGCTGATGGATTGTCCCGGAATCCGCCCTTTCGCCGAATAGTAGAGAACAAATTCTCAACAATATCTTGATTAACCCGAGATGTGAACAGAAAACGAATATCTGTGCTTTCCTTCATGTGCTGCCACAGCTGCGAAATACAAGAAATGGCACCTCCTCTCCCGCCGGGGCGCCACCCTCGGCGACCACCTTACTCGCCCACGCCAATACGGCGGGCGAGGGGTGACTTGTCTGCCGGGGGCTCGGTGAACATCCGTAGCCCGGCGTCCGAGGACGGGGGCTAGGGGCGGCCACTCCTTCTTCTTCAGCTTCCTCCATGCTGCTGCTCTCGCTACTACTGCTCCCGCTGCTGCTACTATCGCTACTCGAGGACCACTCGTAGCCCTCCTCCAAGTCTTCCATCATTTCTCCCATCATTTTTACGCTCTTTGTGCTGCAATCTCTTATCAATGTCTGTCTACGTTCTTCGAGTTTGTCTCCCTACCTCTCCCCTTTTTATACGCTGAGCGAGCCACCACTGTCACCAGTCTGACGTCATCCCCCATTGTATGACGCCACACAGGCTTCGCACGCCCCAGCTTCATTTCCAGCTGTGAGATTCTCTTATTCCTCTCACTCTGCCCATCACAGCTCCTCTTCCCGAGGGAGTAGACTCTCCGTTTTTGGCAGGTCGGAAGGGCTACCCGTGACGTATCAGCCTTCCGATTTGCATCGCCGTCCGACATCGGCCGGCCGCCATATGGCGACCGCCGTCGGCCGACCTTTCAGCGGCGCTACCGTCGCCCCGGTAAACTTCTTCTGTCCTTCCTGCGGTAGGCGGCTAGGTCTCCTTGCGACGTATCGGCTTCCCGAATTACGTCGCCGTCCGACGTCGGCCGGTCGCCGTATGGCGACCGCCGTCGGCCGACCTTTCAGCGGCGCTACCGTCGCCCCGGTAAACTTCTTCTGTCCTTCCTGCGGTACGCGGCTAGGTCTCCTTGCGACGTATCGGCTCTCCCCTGGCTGGACATGGCTTACTTTGGGGGTGTGGATACAGTCCACTACACTACAGCAACCATAACCATACGAAATGCATATCGAAACTCCTTCGCTGATGGATTGTCCCGGAATCCGCCCTTTCGCCGAATAGTAGAGAACAAATTCTCAACAATATCTTGATTAACCCGAGATGTGAACAGAAAACGAATATCTGTGCTTTCCTTCATGTGCTGCCACAGCTGCGAAATACAAGAAATGGCAAGCCTCCATCCTTTGACAAACAACACATTTCTTGATCCAAGCACTGTCAAGATTTGAAGTACAGCTAAGCATGATTCGAAGAATGACTTATGTGCAGAATTTTCTCAAGGCCTCAATTTCTTGGGGTCCTTAAAAAACCCGCTGTTAAATGAATCAAACAGTCCATCAATCATTTCAATGAACTCTGCCGTATGTACAGCCTCCCCAGGCAACTTTCCAAGAGCTGCATATGTGTAGATGCCCGCGGCTACCGAATGGCTGAGCACCTGCGCTGCTCTTTGTTAACTCTCATTTTAGAGAAGCTGTTTAGTACAAAGTGGCCTTTGGTCAGTTTATGAGCTTTTCTAATGGGCAACTGTCAATCATGCTCAAAAGTTGTGAGTATGTGCCCATCGGATATGTTTCATTCTGCCATCCTCTCCCTTTACTTCAAACACATGCTTTTCCAAATTTGATCTTGTGTTTTTTAACAAGTGTGGTGGGTCATGCATACAATATATCTTGGCTCTCCCGTGGATGAAGAAAGGATGATCTTCTGTCACACCCAAGTTGGTGTAGAGTCGAACATTGCTAGAGCCTTGGTCACAAACCACGGCCTTAGGCTGTAGTCCAATGTCCTTTACCTTTTGTAAGCATTCCTTTAGTAATGGTTCCAGTTTCTCAGCCGTTGTGGCGTCTCTCAACAAAAGTAACGTAGAGGTTGCTTCCATTTTCCTATTAAGCCTCTAACCATGAAAACGAGAGCATGGTTGGCAGGACGTGGCGTCTTCCCTAGAGATCCAAAGTCCTCAAAACCTGAATCTTCTAGTGGCCCTCCCAAAGAATGACATCACCGTGCTGTGCTCACTTCTCACTCGCTAAAACAGAATGCACGTGCACTCTGCCGTTCCCGCCCTATACATTTTGCGATTACACTCAGCAGATACAGCAACATCTGGGAACTTCGTGTGAACTTGCTTACTAAAATGGCGCTTGTAGCGACCCATGACCGACTACTCTGTGATTGGAGAGTGGTCTATCTTGCGCCTACGGCACTATAGGTGGCATACAACAGTAAGCCTCCGCGATTGTTCACTGTTGCACTATTTCGTCTCTAGAAAAGGCCTTTTTTGGCATTTCTTTTTGCTGAAATTCGGCACTAGATTGCAATAATTTTCATTATGCACGCAAGTTAGATGCCTCGTGGACGTCTAGAAAGCATTAGAAGTAAAATTGGTCTTGTTGTGTATTCATGACATTCCGTCAGGTGGCGTATTCACAGCGACCGGTTGGTCATTTTTGTGTTTTGAAATAGTCAGACAACTTTGTAGAATTTCACATAGAGCTGGCAAAAGTTTCGAGCGGAGCATAGAGCATAAATCTGTAGTTATTTAACATGAATAAAGTATGTTGTGTAAGCGAAGTAACAGTGTGAGTATTTTTAATTAATATCTATTCGATGCTTATTCAGGCCTGCTGCCTATGGACGCCGTCTACTGTTGTTCACCACCTATAGGATCTTTGGCCAAGACAAACTGCAGTGACAGCGACCAACCGTAACGATAAGAAAATCCAGTATGGCGTTTTACAACGTTCAAATATAATAGCGCTGTTTGAAATTCTCTTATTTTAACGTGTATTTCGAGGTAAATAGTAATTAAGAAATGATGCGATAGTTGCAAACATGTAACAGGTGAGGTCAAATGTGGTAATACATTATTTTATTGACGAAATTTTACGAAATTAGGAGTTTGTTTTCAAGCTACCAGGTATTTCGTATGGGAGGGTGTCAGGCTCCTTTGTCGTGTAACAGTCGGAGAGCCTGGTCGGTTTACTACAGATATAGCTCTAGTACTATAGCCCGCAGATCGCTGCCGCAGAGATCCGCGGGCTATAGTACTAGAGCTACTACAGATATTACCCTATCTCGCTCTAGCTCTAATACTATAGCTACATAGCCTAGTAAAGTAGAGCTAGGAGAGTAGCCTAGCTAGTAGAGATTAGCTCTAGTACTGCTCATAGGGTCTATGTCCCCCAGGGTACTGCCGGAACTAGCTCTAGTACTATAGTATAGCTCCAAGAAACGGTATTGATAGGGTTAGACTTTATATAGACAATTTGTCGCAC